GAATAAGCTGTCAAATAGCACTCCTTTTTGGGACTAAATGCATGTACCCTACTTTTCATGTTCTTTATGGCCCAATGTATGGGTCCATCATACAAACAACCTCTCCCCTAGCTAGAGGGGCAAAGCAGGTTGATAGAATGATAATACGGAGTAACACAGTTAAGGTCAAACCACTCCAGGTTGATAGAATGATTATACACAATTAAGGTCAAATTCAATTAATTATATGTAATTGCTTTCTTAATACATTGTTTTTCTCTATTTTCCTGGCCTGGGACACTTCAACAATAGAATTTAAAATTTAAAAAAAAAATTAGGAAGAAGGTGATTTGTACCTGTAACTTTGAGGCCATACATTGTTGCTGTATGAATTAGGTTTACTCTGCTGCTGATCGTTCTCGTTCTCATTCTCATTGGAGTAATTGGAGAAGTCAGATCCGTTTCTATCTCCAACTCCATATTCGCCTCTCTCGTCTTCCTCCTCATCGCTTTCTATGAATAAACTCCGCTCAGACATTGAATTCTCCATAATCTACAGCTATTATATGTTTAGAACCTCAGAATCCAATACTTCTGAAACAAAAAACAATAACAAAAATAAGATTCAGCATTCAGTTAGATTCCAAATCTTCGCAAATCAAATCCCTTTTGAAAATTCGAATCTAGGTTCGAATCCCGCGCTCAATAAATCTACAGACAGAAAAAGCCATCGACATTCGCGTTCTCCCAAACACACGACGGGCATAAAAAAATCAAAAATGGAAAGAAAAACTCGAGCTTAAATATGAAAATCACTGGTAATCATACATAAACTGTGATGTTTCTAATGGAAATATGGAAGAGTGTCTGTGTTCTAAATATTTCAATTCTCGGGAGTCTGAGTTGATTTCCAAAAGAGAAAAATGACGAGTAGAGAAGTTAAGATGGAGGGTATAAATACCCAATTCAAATCTTACTGGGAAAAGGAAAGAGAGGAGATTTGGGGATTGTACTACTATACGGAGTAGAAATAAGATTAGAGTCAAAGTTTTAATGGATCAATAAACAATGATTAACCCATTCATTCAATGAGAGAGGAGGATTAACCGTCTATAAATAGAATTCCTCGTTTGAAAACAGATATCAATACTTCCATATTTTCAAAATCTATTGTTAAAGTTGATGCGATTTTAAAAGGTTATGGTCATACTCTTTTTGATCATTTTCCGACCATTTTTCCAGCAAAAAAGAAGGTATTAGTGCCTATTTTTCAAATTATATGAGGCACAAGTGCTCTTTTTTTTTCTTTTGTTTTTTCTCTTTTTTCCTTTTTTTATTTTTGTATTAATCAAGGTTTTTTGAATTTCTTTTTAAAATTGATACGAGTATTATAATGTTCTTAAAATTTAAAATTATTTTTGAGTGAAAAAATTAATTAACATATATTACATGGTGCGAAACACCTTGTGAAGCCATAGATTCCACCCTTACTAAAATCAATAATTCTATACTTTCTACATTCATAAAGATTGTCATAGTTTGATTTTTAATCAAACTCAGGGCCGGCCTCAAAAAAATGAAAAAATAAAATTAGTCCAGTCCAAATTTTACATTTTAGGTCCTATTCTATTATTTTAGAATACTTATATTTCAAAATTAATAATAAATTTAAAAATATGTGGCCCTGAAATTTTAGAGACTCTATGTTGTTGGCCATTTTGCACGTCCTCTGGTCCACTCATGGTCAAATTAAGGTATTCTTTGACCGTAAATTATGAAAAAAGTATATTTAGTTATAATAAAAATTTAGTACAAGTGTTTTTTACCCATTTTGTCTAAAAAAGATTGTGAAAATTTGATGTCGGGTCGAACTGTAAAACAGTTTGACCACAAATTCAATATACTTTTAAATAAGTAAATATTTTAAAGTTTTGATATATCAAAATTATATTTTAACCAAATTATTTAATTTATATTATAACAATATATTTTTAAATAATTTATTCAAGTTGTGGGTTTATTTTCTTCCTCCGACAAACATAGTGGTACTCCGTATGAAATACTCGTACTCCATAAGAAATTAAGAAGGGATATGCTAGGGGTACACCAAAAGGTGTACCCCAAATGTACACCATCCTCCTACTAACCATTCATTTTATTTTATTTTTATTTTTAAATATTTTTGAAAATTTCTTGTCTTTGTTTTGTGGTGATGGAGGGGGTGGGGATGTTTGGGGTACACTTTTGGTGTACCCCTAAATTTTCCAATTAAGAATAGAAGTTCTTTTTCGTGTTTTATGGATGGTGACAAAAAATGGGGGCCATATGTCCTCGATCATTGAGAAAGATGACGTGTGCAACGTGCAATGGCCCTTAGAAGGGATAAGCATCGTTGTTTTTTTCGCCGCGTATGGTACCGTGCAGTATTTGGTATTCAAATTAAGGATTAAGTTACGTGTACCCCAACATTTATATTTCAATTTGTACCCCGCAGGTTTGCACCTACATTTTATGTTGGTGTAAAACTAATTTTTTTAACGCACTAACATTTGTGTCCATGTAAATTTTTGTTAACGCACCAACATTTGTGTCGGTGTAAACTATCAAAATGTTTTTGCATAGTTGTGGGGTACAAATGGTGTACATTTTTTGGTGTAAATGTAGCATGGTCCTCAAATTAATTTTTGTACTATTAAATAGTCTTTTCGTTCTGAAGAATAATGAATTTCTGTATTGATTTCGGAGGTCAAGCCTCGAATATATACAAGATACAAGTCTCCTAATTATGGTAGGATATAAATGCAATCCTTCTATACAAGGGAAACTACCAAATATACATAAAATATATTAAATATACAATATATATTTAACATGCTCCCAGCTACGTAACCGATGAAGGACGGATGCCGAGACTATGTCTGAAATCGGAGAAGAGAAGTGATGGGAGTCCTTTGGTGAAGATGTCGGCGTACTGGGACGATGAAGGAACATGGAGTACGCGGACCTGCCCTAGGGCGACCTTGTCTCTGACAAAGTGAATGTCAACATCCACATGTTTAGTTTGCTGGTGCTGAACAGGGTTGGATGAGAGATATACTGCACTGACGTTGTCACAGAAGACTAGAGTCGTACGTCGTAGAGGTTGCTGTAAGTCGAGAAGCAGGTTTCGGATCCAACTCGCTTCGGCGACGATGTTTGGATGTGGTAGCTTGCCTTTTGGAGGACCAGGAAACAAGATTATCGCCAAGGAAAACACAATATCCAGAGGTAGAGCGACGAGTATCTGGGCATCCTGCCCAATCAGCATCAGAGTAGGCCTGTAAGCAATCCGTGCGGGTGCGATGTAGAGTAATCCCATGAGTGGTGGTGCCGTGAAGGTAGCGTAGAACCCGCTTCATGGCAGTGAGATGAGTGCTGTGAGGGGCATGGAGGTGAAGACATAACTGCTGAACAGCATAGGTGAGATCAGGGCGGGTGAATGTGAGATACTGCAGAGCACCAACAATGGACCTGTATAAAGTGGGATCAGGAAGAGGTATTCCCGAGGAGGCTTCGAGCTTCGCCTTAGTATCCACTGGGGTGGAGATGGGCTTGCAGTTTAGCATGTCTGCCCGCTCCAAGATCTCCTGAGCAAACTGTGTCTGATGGAGAAATAGCCCTCTGTAGTGCGCTGAACATTAATCCCGAGGAAAAAATTAAGGTCACCCATATCTGTCATAGCAAATTCTTCCTTCAGTTGTTGAGTGAGGCACTGAAGTAAGGAGGAGGAAGAGGCGGTAAGAACAATTTCATCCACATAGAGCAACAAATATGCCCTGTCATCCCCACGAGTGTAGACAAAAAGAGATGTGTCGCTCTTACAGCCAAGAAAGCCCAAGGTAAGGAGAAATCCTGCAAAGCGGTGATACCAGGAGCGGGGAGCTTGCTTGAGACCGTATAACGCCTTCTTCAGTCGACACACATAATGGGGATGTGTGGGATCCTGGAATCCGGATGGCTGAGTAGCATACACTGTCTCCTGAAGAGTGCCGTGAAGAAAGGTGTTCTTCACATCTAGCTGATGAATAGGCCATCCACGTGACAGGGCTAGGCTAAGAACAATACGCACCGTGGCAGGTTTTACCACCGGACTAAAAGTCTCCTCATAGTCGATTCCGAAGCGCTGATTGAATCCACGGACCACCCACCAAGCTTTATACCTGGACAGTTCACCTATAGGGCCAAATTTGTGGCGAAAGAGCCATTTACCGGTGATAACATTTTGGGAGGGGGAGGGTGGTACAAGTTCCCATGTACCGTTGTTAATCAAAGCATTAAATTCATCACAGATAGCATTATACCAGTTCTGGTCCTTAAGAGCACTACGGTAGGTAGGGGGTAGAGGGGAGATTTGGGCGGTGGTGCTTAGGTCGAGGATGTGTTTGGGACGGGTGATACCCGCCTTGGACCGGGTGATCATGGGATGGGTAGGGGTTGGGCCGTGGGTTGTGGGTTGAGTGGATGCTTCGGTTTCGGGCTGGTTATGGGGTGACGGGGGGTGGGGTGGGTTGGCTGAGCTGTGGGGTTAGGAGGGGAGTGAGCCGTGGGTGTATTGGGTGAGGGGCTTTGGCGGGCCGAAGGTGGGGTGGGTAGGGAGCTGGGTTGGGATTGGGGTTGGGCCGTGGGAAGAGTATTGGAGGTGGTAGGGGGTGGTGTCGTCCTCCGTGGAGTCGAGGAAATCTAACTCTGTGGGACTGGAGTGGTGGCTATATGGGTAGATGTGTTCATCGAACACAACATGACGGGAGATGATGACTTTGTGAGTTTGTAGATCAAGACACCGGTACCCGCGTTGGTTGGACGGGTATCCGAGGAAGACACACCGGGCCGAGCGAGGGGTGAGTTTGTGAGGAGCGGTGGCAGTTATATTTGGATAACAGAGGCAGCCGAATACTCGAAGGTGAGAGTATGTGGGGGGTTGGCCATAGAATACTTCGTGAGGAGTGCGGAAATTGAGGGTGGTGGTGGGGAGGATATTGAAAAGATGAGTGGCCATGTGGAGGGCTTCAACCCAAAAAGTGGGTGGAAGGTTGGCTTGGAACAGGAGAGAGCGAACAGTGTTATTGATAGTGCGGATGGTGCGTTCGGCTCGACCATTTTGTTGGATAGTGTGAGGGCATGAAAAACGGAAGATGATGCCCAGACTTTCAAAAATGGTTTTGAGTGGTGTGTTGCGGTATTCGGTGCCATTGTCACAATGAACAGCTTTGATTGTGGAGTTAAATTGATTTTTCACAAAAGCAACAAAGTGTTTAAGGTGAGAACACACATCAGATTTATGCTTTAAAGGAAAAATCCATAAATAATGAGAATAATCATCCAACAATAACATATAATGTTTAAAACCTGTAACACTGGGAATGGGGGATTGCCACAAATCAGTATGAAGAAGTTGAAAAGGAAAGGTAGAAATACGACTCGATGACATAAATGGGAGGCAAACATGCTTTCCCAATTGACACGCATGACATAAAGAGTTCTGAAAATGTTTATTAAGACACTTAGATAAAGACGGGACTCCACGAAGGACGCTGTTGCTAGGGTGGCCAAGACGCCGGTGCCATAGCTCTGGATCAATGGTTGTAATGTTGGCTTGGGCCTTGGTGGCTTGTGGGCTCATAGGGTAGAGTGGGCCGGCATCATTGGACCGATGAATCACGGACCCTGTCTGCATATCCTTCACAGAAAAACCAGTTGGGTCAAATTCAACGGTACAATTATTGTCACGGGTGAATTGTCTAACGGAGATAAGATTATGGATGATATGGGGGGATATGAGGATATTATGTAGGGAAAGGGTGGGGGAGGTGGGGAAATAATAGCTACTGGTAGCCGTAGTGCGAACCTTAGAACCATTACCAACCGTAATATATGAGGATGAATTTAAAGAATGAGAACGAACATGAGAAAGTTTACCTTGGTCGGAGGCGATATGGTGAGATGCACCGGTGTCCATGTACCATGTGGGGTCACGGAGGCTAAGGGTGTCAAAGTTGTGGGCTAAAGCAGTGGGTGTTGGGGGTGGTGGGGTGGCTGGCTGTGAGCTATGGGTGGATGGGGGGTA